GCCCCCCCGATCAGTTCGCCCTTCTCCTAAGGGTGTTGTGTCTGTTAAAACTTCTACTTACAAATGCTTCCTGTCCTGTATTCTAGTTTGACCTTACGCGATGGTTAAGCATTGCTAAGCCACCTCTGTCTGAACGTACCAAGCTTCTGGAGTCTATTCACTTGGCTCTGAATGCATGTGGCCTTGAACCCGACGAAGATATTTTGATGCCATTTAATATCTTCTGCAAGCATTGGACTAACCTTCTCCAGTATCAGTTCCCTGATCACTATAGTGATTTCTTAAGATTGCTCGTGCAAAGTGAGTATCTTGAGTCGATGTGTACATAGCCTTTTGTGCTGAACTCATCTGGCTTAAAAAGGTGAACTGTGTGCAGTAGAGTTAAATAGCAGCAAATGTGGAATGATTTAAACTTAAGTTTCTATATGCAGTTTTATGTGTGTACATACACGTGGTATGTTTTTATTAGACGTCTTGTAGCTCTACTAGAAAGAAACACTCTTCTGCAGACCAAGTACATTCATCAGTTACAACAGATTTTTGACTCATATTACCGAATGATGGAGGTTTCTATTAGTGGAAGCCCTTATTAGTTATGATTATGCCACAATCTGTGATGCAGCATCCTTGTTCTTGAGCACCCTTCAATGTCTGACTGAGAACTGGAATTAAAGGGACCTGGGACTGATACTGAAATCTGCTGAAAACATGCTGGTTGATGTTAGATGCTACCTATAATCTGATGTGCCTCTAAAATGAGAACAAACCATGTCAAACCATGTGCTGATGCAGCAGCTGTCTCTTAATACGTGATTGTAGCCAGGGGTGTACTGAGTGCCTGGGAAAATCTCTAAGAGAGCATGTAGATGCCAAAAGGGAAGGTTAAATTACATATGTTTGGGAATTAGAGATACTCATGCTGTGCCTATTTTTATTTATTGTTTTATGTTGTAGGGAGGTCTAATTTCAACCTTTTCTGACTTCTATTGGGAAAGGGACTAATACCCTTCTCCTGATTTTTCACAAATGTATTTACTTCTCCTTCTCCTAAGGCTCATCAGAGCAGCTTCTAAGCCCTGACTGTTGGAAAGCATCACTTAAAGCTTTGGGATGTGGTTCACCAGTGACTGAGCAGGCGAGCTTCAAGACAAGGGACTCTACTGAAAATCCTGTATTGCAGGATGCAGCAAAAATTCTCCTCTCTGCAGATCAGGTGGGTGCCTCTTCACTTGATTTATTATGTTTTTCAGCTGTAACAGGTGCCCACCAGTGACAAATAGCACTGCTGTGCAGTCTTTCTGCATCTGATGAATAGTTCCCTTCTTTTCACAGGTTAGAGAGACAATAGAATGGCTTTCCACATCTTTCTGCAAACTCCGAGTGGCTTCGATGGACTTCAGGACTTTTGGCCTGTTTTCAAAGTGGAGTCCTTATGTGGCTGAAGTGAATAAATTTCTGGAGTATCTTATTAAACGACTTATTGATATGGAAGTTGCCAATTTAGCCCAGGAGCCTTTTGGCAGTAACAGAATTCTAGCAGGTAATATGTCTTTAAAGCAAATTACTTAAGAACAGGCATTCAGTTTCTCTAATTTGCTCTGTTAAAGGCCATTTAAATATAGAGTAAAATTTTCTTGCTCTGCATTTGTACAATGATGAAAACATTAAAATACAGACAGTAAATGTCGATGCTACTTCATGTCTGTATGAGACTTTCTGCTTTATCTTTACATGGAGGAAGCTTGTTTTAAAGTTATTTTATGAAGAGATCATACTTTCTTCAAATAAAAATATAGTCTTTTGCACTGAGCAGAGATTTGGGAATGATTGGACTAATGAATTTCATCATGGTGTGTTTTTGATTTGAGGAAAATCACCAAAATACCTTATATTTTAGTATATACAGGTTTAAAGTCTGAATCATCATGATCTCCACAGCCTCAGATGTACTAAAGTGATATTAAAACATCTAAGCAGTGTAAAATGCTTATGATTGTTGTTAAAACCACCATGCTGTTAACCAACATTAGTAATAGGGGTATTGTATTTTACATTTTTATTTGACCAGGAAGAACTGATTAAATGTTGCAGTAAGTAAAGGACATTGAATTCAAGTTTGGAAATGTGGAATTTGTTCACTGTTGCTGATTTGAAGGAAAAAAAAAATAAGGCAACTTCTTTGTTTTGTTTTCTTCTAGCATTACAGTCCCTGTATTCAGTCATTGCTGGACTCTTTAAACCATGGATACTGGTCTTGGATAAGGAAGATGCAAGGTATATATTGCATTTTAAAGTTAAATGAATTTTTGCTGAAGTAAGGACTTTAGCCCTGTAAGAATGGTTTTCATTGTTGCCTCGGTTTTTTTTTTTTTTTTTAAGTCATGACTGTATTGTGACTTTCTATTTAAGTAGCTGTTACCTGTGCCGTATCCTAAGTAATTACAGAACTAATTAGTTATTTAAGTATAATTTTCCATGGCTTGGATTGAATAATTATTTTAGACTCATGAAATATCTCTGCTTCCTGACCAGAGCTTGGTTATGAGAAAAATATGATTGCAATCACTTCTGAAAACACTGAAACTTGAATTTTTAGATTCCTTTTTTTAGCTTCCATAATATCTATAATGCCTTAGTTTAAAACAAAACAAAGAAAGCCAAATAGATACAATTCAAAGTGGTATGTAGAGAAACTTCAGGCTAAACCAGTCCCATGATAATCTGCTGTCTTGTTTACGTCTGTCTTCACACGGGTAATTATTTGTACTACTATACATATAAATTTTACTTTACTGCAAAACCAAAAGCTTTTTGAGTTGTGAGCACATCTTCAGCACTTAGAAGGCTGACTGCATGTGGTATGTGCTGTCATTCAGAAGTTCAGGTTTTGGTCTTTAATTCAGTTATAAATGTGAGACAGGTAATCACTGCTTACTCAGTGGGATCACTGATCATCAGTGTACTGTATACATAATGTGTATGCGACATTATAGTATGTCCTCTTCTAAGGAAGAAGAGGACAGTCCCAAAGAGTTGAGTTTGAGAGAACTGCTGGTGCCTGTACTATATTGATTTACTGTGCTTTGGAATATTTAAATTGCTTAAGTGTTTATGATCTGATAACTCAGCACTGAATTTATGTTGCTTTTTTTCTCCTTCTTTAAGTAATCAGCCTTGCTATCCTTGGTTGGAGAGTGACACTCCTGTAGTATCCACCATGGTCTGTTTGTTTACAGATTGCATCAAGCTATTGCATGAGAGCTTTAAAGGTGAGTGAAGTCTACACTGTTTTAGTGTAGTGGCACTTTCTGTCCTATCGGGCTAAAAAAGACTTTTGATTTAGTTGTGGGATATGAGGTGATTTTACCTGTTATGAACTTTTAGCCAGGATGATCACTGCAGTGGCACCAGGAGCATTTGTTTGTTTCATTCTTAAAAGGCAGGTTTTTTTCCTTGGCAAGGGTAGATAACATGACTAATAAATGCATATCTGTCAGATGACAAAGCTAAATATGAAGGAAAACAAACCAAAATGAGCTGTCATGAGAAATGCATGACTTCATTCCAGGTCTGTGTGTTGTTCCCATATTACATATGCAGTAACATGTCACAATGACCAACACATATGTCTCAACAGCGAGTCTTCGGGGTACTTAATCTCCAGGACAGATAATTTTGAGCTCTGATTTAGCATAGCTGATTGTACCTAATGTGTAGTTAGACACAGGAGTGGAAAACATTTATTTCACAATACCTCTTAATAACTTTCAAGGATGAACTAGATTCAAACTTACCTTGTAAAAATAAATAATTAAAAATAACATGCTATTGTGTGTTCTATGAAATTTGGGATAGATAAGATCTTTTAAAACCACAAACACAACATAAAAGCAATGAAGTTCTACATGGAAGGAATATTTTAGAACTTTGAATTATTGTCCTGCAACTCTTCATGTCCTGCTTGAGGAAGGGCATGAAATCATAAGCTTCCCTAATTGTTGATTTGAAGGGAAAAAAAAAATCTAAAAGCTTAATGTACATTTTTTATTTTGTGTATATTTTAGTGTAACTTCCATTTATGGTTTTTCATCTTCAAAACTGAACTTCAAGCTTTCGGTGATTTTTTTTCTGTTGTTAATTGAGCTATTTTCTTTGAATCTAGATAAGCTGTTGCCAAGCCACCATGGGGCTCTTTGGTTGCATCTAATGCATTACTGTGAATGCTGCACTGCCCCTAAAATGCCAGAGTTTATTCTCTATACTTTCCATACTGAGTTCAGAAAGCTTCCATGGAAGGAAATGCATCCAGACCAGATGCTTATGGAAGAGTTCTTTAAAGTGAGTACACAGTATTTATTGGATTAAGCTCATAGTCAGTGTTGCCATTGAAGGCAACTGGAGAGCTGAAGACAGTTCTCCTAGCAAGTAAGCTTTTACAGTTTGTAGCATTCACAGCTGCTCATTTTGTGATTGATTTTTGTAAAGGAGTGCTATCGAGTGTTAGACAAAGTCGTGTGGAGCTGTAGAGCTTGCAGTCTTTGTAATCTGACATTGCTGCATCTGAATATCTCATTTATTACATATATAGAATCGTAGAATAGCTTGGGTTATGTTTAGTATGTATTTAGTTAGAGTTCACATACTTCAGTGTTGTGTTGTTCTCACTTCCAAGTTGCCTGAGACAATGTAAATGCAGATGGATGTGTAAATGCTCCAGGATTTACTACTTACCTGTTTGGGATGAGTTCTTCATGCAGTTCTAAATAGGCTTAGAGTTTCTTAGTTTCCCTTAGAGTGAAGAGAGATGGATGCAGTCATGCAGCTAAGAGTTTGTAATAAATTAGTTCTTTCTGGCTTACAGTGGCTTGGTGTTCTGTACTGATTATTTGAGAGGCTTAGACAGTTACATGTGCAACTCTTCTGGTGGGGGGTAAAATGATGGAGAAGTGGCATCTATCTTCTCCTTTGCTGACCTAAAAAGTTGCTGTGGCTACTAAAAGATATGAAAGTATTTGTATCTTACATTTTTCTTTATATGCCTTTTTTTTTTTTTTTTTTCCATTTTTCCTAGATTGAAAGAGGCAGCCCCAAGAGTTGTTTCCTATTCTTGGGTTATGTGTTATGTGAAATAAACTGGGTCAGTGTCCTCTCTGATGCCTGGAATCCCAACCCTCATCCTCAGACTCACAACATGATTGTCTGTTTGCTGTATATGATGGTCCTGCTGGGAAAGGAGGAACAACTTATAGGCAAAGAGGTAATTTTTGGAAAGGTTCATACCTGTCCATCTCGGAAGAATAATAACCCTTTGCTAGAAGGGGCACAGGATTTGCCTCACTTGCAGAATTACTAACTCAGAAGTGGTTTTTGCATAGGTGAAATACCCCAAATAGTCTTCCAGAGACAGCCAAGACTAGTTCCTTATGTAAAGCATTTTGTATAACTTGTGTGGAAAAGAAGAAGAGCTGCTGTTCATTTTAAGAAGTTTCTGTTGGTGCTCCAGCAGTGTTGTAAAGAGTAAGGAAATAAATACAGACAGCTTCCTGAAGTTACAAAATGACGCTCTAGGCTTTGGAAAGAACAAATAAGTATGTTAGTTTCATTAGTGTTTAAAAAAATCATTCTTATTCTGCAGAGCTACTGTGCAGTTGTTTACCTTCCGTTTTTAAGTCTGGGATGCTGCATTATATAGTTTTCTTATCTCTTAAGCCAGTCTTTAGTTAAAATACCTGTTTCCTTTTCTCTTTCCTGGTTTTGGAGAGCCTTACTTACAAGCACATGCAAAGCAGAGGCAATATTAGCAAAAATTTACATATGCACCTGTAATACATGTGCATATATATGTGTACATGTTATGTGCACCTGAGTATAGGTCTGCCTGGTTTGATTCAGGTAGTCTTCTGACATGAGTGCAGGAGCAGCTTTGACTGGTGTTTGTGCCTGTGGAAAGAATTGGGAGGATCACTGAGTCTCATTTATCCTGTCACAGCCAGTCATGTAAATCTCCGCTGCTTTTTCTGAGTGGCAAACACGAATGTATGGACAGATGGTAAGGAATCATCTACTTCTGAAAAGCTTATGCCTTGCTCTGTGCCTTAACTGTGTGCGTGTTCGTGGTGTTTTCTAACCTGATCTTCAGTACTGGTCTTTCAGTACTGTACTACAAGTACTTACAGTTTCTTGTGTTAAGCACAACTCAGCAATGGCATTAGTCCCGGTGAGGTTAGGAGCAGCACTTGATCAGGGTGTAGGTTTTTTCATCGCTGTCTAAAAGGAAAATATTTGTCTGCTTGAACATGTTTTCTGTAATTGTTGTTCAGTCCTTAAAAGAAGTGCTTTTACAAACATTTATATTTTACTTTAAAATGCTCCCTTCCTAACTCCGTATGATGTGATGATAAGTCACAATGATGTAACAACGTCTTTGAAGATACATATTTTAATAAGCTTGGCACTGACTGCTGCTGAGTTACTGGGGACAAATTACTTCATTTGTAGGTTGAGTTTTCTTGTTCCCTTGCTCTGAAGGGAGATTTGATCATCTCTGGTTTCTCAGCACTTCTATTTATTATTGCACCCCTGTATTTCTCAATTATTGGAATAGGAAAGAGAAGCATTGGATGTTAGGATGGACTTTCGGAACTCTGCTTTTGCTAAGAGCTCTGTGTGGATAATCTGTCGCAGTCTCAGTCCATTGCTTCTGGAGGACTCTAGCAAAGTAGCTGCGTAATCTTCAGGAAGTCCATTTCACATCTGCCAGTTTTCCTCTAATTGCAGTGTCTTCAATTGTCTGTTTCCTCTGAGGCATGTCGTGGTTTAAGCCCAGCCGGCAACTTGGAACCACGCAGCCGCTCGCTCACTCCCCCCCTTTTCCTTCCTCCCCCCGCTCCCGGAGGGATGGGGAGGAGAATCGAAGGAATGTAACTCCCACGAGTTGAGATAACAGCTCTCCAGTAACTAAGGTATAATACAAACCACTACTGCTTCCAATAATAATGATAAGAGGAATAACAAGGGAAAAGGACACAACTGCTCACCACCCGCCGACCGATACCCAGCCCGACCCGAGCAGCGATCTGGGCCTTCCGGGTAACTCCCCCCAGTTTCTATACTGGGCATGACGTGCTGTGGTATGGAATACCCCTTTGGCCAGTTTGAGTCAGGTGTCCTGTCTCTGCTTCCTCCTGGCTTCCCCTCCTCTCTGGCAAAGCATGAGACTGAGAAAGTCCTTGGTCAGAGTAAACATTACTTAGCAACAACTAAAAACATCGGTGTTATCAGCATTGTTCCCAGACTGAAAGTCAAAAACACAGCACTGCACCAGCTACTAAGAAGGAGAAAAAATGACTGCTGTAGCTGAACCCAGGACAGGCATTACAAGATGCTGTGTAAAGATGTCACCTGCAGCCTTTGATCAAGATTGTATTCCAGTTTAGGAAAACTACCAGAGTTCACAGGCTTTGACCTGAATGTATTTGCTTATCAGAAGCTTCTCAAGCTTCAGAAGATACCGGTTTGTACATTGTGTGAGTCAGCCTCAGGAATTCCCTCTTAGCCTCCAGCAGCGTGCTAAACTGACACAGCCCATCACTCGTCTTTTACCTCCCAGGAGGCTTCTGTGACACCTTGACCTAAGCCTCAAACTTTCTCAGCCCTGTGTTCCAGTGCATGAGCAACTTGAGAAGTACTTCATGTACCAGTGTCACATTCTTGTAGATGTAGTCAAATTTGGCTTAGTTCTGGATTGTTACAGTCTCTAGGTTATGTGTCAGCACAATTCCAGTATTTATTCTTTATATAAAATGCAGAAATCTGGTGCTTCTTAGTGTTTAGGGTGGCCCTTTTGTATTGCAGATGGGTATGAACCTGTGAGAGGAGGATGGTGGTAACGGAGGCTATACTCTTAGCTGCTTATAGGCAGCTGTGTACTTGCACTGCCAGTGTGAGTTGTGGACACTGTAGGGTGCTGGACAGTTCAGGATGGTATTTATGAGAATAAGCACTTGAGGAGTGCCCCAGGTTAGAAGATGTTTCACTGAACGGAAAATTGAGGGACATGGCTTCTGTCCCTGGTTAAACTGTGAACTTAGTTTTTTTAAAATCAATTTTAATGCCTTTTTTAAACCTCTGCTGAAGTGACTTTATGTTGTAGGGTCTCTGTTTCTTTCTAGCTCTCTTTACATGTGAAATTTTAATGTCTGTTGCTGACTTCGGAGCTTGGCTAGAGCTGCTGCAGCAGCCTGGGTACTGTTACATGAATGCTAGAGATGACATACATGGGTTGACTTTCTGCTTGCATAAGGAGCCAGACTCCCAGTGGTCATCTATTTTTGTGGGATTTCTGCTCCATCTCCTTCAAATTTTGGAGTCTGGGCTTCCTTCCAGTATGGAGTACTGTGAATGTTAATTTTAAACACTGAAGAAGGTCGAGCTTAGACTAATGTCTTTAAATCTTCAGGAATCGCCACTCATAAATCTTCTTGGACAGACCAGCTCCCTTCCTTGGCAGCTTGTGGGCATTTCATCTTACCAAAACATCATCAGCTACTGCAATAGTCACTACCCTCCCTCTGTTATCCTTGCTAAGGATGCTGCAGCTGAACTAATTGTGAAGCTCCTGAAAATCTCAGCAGGCTTTGGTGCATCTTCAGACAGTCACATCCACCTTGTAAGTTGAACTGGATTTGCAGTGTCGCTGAGCTCTTCTTGTCATTTGTGTGTTCTGCTTTTGTATATTACAGAGTATGGAAAGAGTTCTAGGCATGATTTTTTTTTTTCTTATAATTTATTTAAATTTTGGTTAACAGGATGCAACACTGAAGTGCCAAGCATACATTCGCCAGGTGGTTCAGTTTCTCAGCACCTTAGAACAAAGTGGAAAGATTACTCTTGCAGTTCTGGAACAAGAAATGTCCAAGTTGCTAGATGATGTTGTCATCTTTAATCCTCCAGGTTTGTGTTAAAGAAGTGGGAAACTACTTTAAAGATGTCAAGATCCCTTATTCTACTGCATGGGTTGTTGAACATCTGTGACTGTGTGATTTCTTGCATTACTATCATGTCTTCCTCATGTGCAGCAGGGCATGTTGCCTTGGTATGTATATAGGTGATACATTAGCACAACACAAAAATATGAATGGTAGCCTGTAGAACTGTTAAAAGTGACAGAACCAACACTAAACCCAGGGTTATGTTGTGAGGAAAAAAATTGACAAATACACAGGTTGTAGGATTCTGTTCTGTGTTTTCTATTTTTTTAATATTTTTTTAGATTTTATTTGCATCTTTATTAAAAGGAAGAATGACAAAATTACTCTCATGGTCCTTCAGGGATGAGATTCTGAAAAAGAGTTCTAACCTGTTGTGCGATTGGTAAAACTGACTTTTGCAGTAGGGGAATGGTATTGATGTACACTAGTAGTACGGTGTGTTTGCACCTTCAGCATTTGTATTGAACTCATTTCTATTACTAGTACCATCCTGACCTTCCTCTATCAAACTAAAGCTTCAGGTGGAATCAGTTGTCTTGCTGTACTACACAGCAAATTAGGAGTCGTGTGTCTTTGTGTCCATAGCAAGAGTGAACAGGAAGCATCTGAAAGTCTGTGAGAGTGAGAACTATCTCTTTTACTACTTGTATTGGTACTTGGAGAAGCTCTGTAGGATACCCCCATAGTCAGTAAAACTCTTTGTGAGTTGAAGAGAAGTGAAGGCTTGCCTGTTGCTGCTGCTGCTTCTTGTAGCTGAGAGATTCTAGGCAAGGCAGGAGTTCCAGTATAAGAGGTGCAGCTCTGTTTTGTGAACCCCTATGCACGCTTGTGTGTGTTGAAGGGCTGAAACAGAGAATACTCCGTCTTGCTCAGCCAGCCTGTGGGGTGCAGGAGGGTCACTGGTGCAGTGGCACAAAAGCAGTGGTGTGTATAAGATTCAGCTTCTCTGTGAGGTATGAAGGAGGCTGGCAGAAGTTTTTAGAAGAGGCTCTGGGGCAGTACCTTTTATTGACAACAGCTGGAAAGAAGAATAGCTTAGTTTGGAAGGGTGTATGTGTGTGTATATATATATATATATGTATATATGAGACAAAAAGCTATGGTATGTTGAAAAATATGGGATCTGAGTGTGATGTGAATGGTATGGAATAAGGGGTGGATACTGTCCTGGGTTCAGCTGTAGCAGTTATTTTTCTCCATTCCTTTGGCAGCAGAGTGGAGGCCACACTTCACTTCTACTTCGGAGGCCTGTTGTCCAGTCTCCTTCTCAATCCAGTGGCTAATTTCAAAGTTAAATCAGATTCTACAGGGCCTTGTCCAATGAGCTCCCAAATATCTGCAAGTTTGGAGGTCTGAGCCTCTTTGGGTGACGTTTTTCCAGTGATAAATCCCTCTGTGCACAACCTTTCTTCATAAACAGTTGAAATTTTTCCTTCTACAATACATGATGTTGCTTGAAAAATTTCTTTCATAACAATAGTGACTTTTTTCATCAATATGTGCAAAGATCTACTCTGTAGATAGACTTCTAAGAGCCAACATAAGGAAATGTTAGTGCTTCGAGGGCATTGTTAGAGGTGTCATCCCATGATAACATGTTCAGGTAATGCCAAGAGATGGTTTCAAAAAGATATTATGGGACTGAATACTGGGATTAGCAGGAAATCCTGAAAGGCACGAGGGGATTGTAACATTTCAGGGCTCATGTCTGTTAGATTTTAAGTTGAATAAGCTAAAATCTTGTTAGTTTTACTCTAATCTGTGCTTTAAACTGTGATTTTGTACCAGAGCTTGATTTGGAGACTGTAAACATGCTTTATCATTCAATTTATTTGCACTGTAGTCTTGATAAAAGACCCTAGGTGAAACATGGGGTCCAGTCTACTCTCCTGTGTGGCCTTCTCAGCTGTCTCTCTGTTTAATGAATGATGAGCTATCTCAACAACGGAAGAGACTGTGAGGAATGAGTGTCTTACTGCAGTCTTGTAAGTGCAGGTAGGGAATTGAGGTGTGTAATGAGCAAGAGGCTTTTCCCAGTACCTACAGAAAGTGTTCAGTGGAGGAGCTGAATTTGGATTCCAGTGTCTATGTACTGAAATGGTTCTCTTATTCCTGACTTTCAGATATGGATCTGCAAATGCGTCACATGGCCCTCAGCAGCCTCTTCACAGAAACACTGATGATGATGAACAATTCTAGTGTGACAACCGCCGAGTCTCTACGGGGAAGCTTACGGAACTGGGTTGGCAGCAAAGTTCATGGGTTGCTGGCAATGCCCCTCCTCACAGCAGCGTGTCAGAGCCTGGCCTCTGTGCGGCACATGGCAGAAACAACAGAAGCCTGTATTACTGCTTACTTCAATGAAGGTAGGAGCCTGTCTTTCGCTGCTGCTTGTCTCAAAAAGTTTGATGAGTCTTGGATGCCCACTAAATACAAATCATCTGGAATACTTATAGCGTCACTCTATGTAGGAACTGGGTTTTAATCTGGTTTCCATAATCAGGGCCACTTTCTTTGTATCTGCTAGCTCCCAAAGCTAGACAGAGAAAAGTTAGGCTGTTGTGGTTTGGCTTTTGCAGCTGTTCTAACTGTGTTTTCTTAAGAACCATACCTGTCTCTGTGAAAACCAATTTGCTTTGTGTAATGGTTGCCATTTTTCCAGCTAAAGGGGAAGACTTTTTTAAAACAGAGAATCATCTCAAGAGAACAAACCTGGTATTTTTCCCCTCCTCTAGTGTTCTGCAGGCTAATTAAAAAAACCCAAACAAGTCTTGATTGGTAAAATTCTGAAGGTTTTTTTGATGTGATTCCCCCTGGGCTTTCTGTTTTCCTTGTGGAACCACATTTTGATTTCTTCCACATTCCGTGTGATCAGATTTCAGTACACTTGAAGGAAATACTTGAAATTCCATTGTTAAAATTCCCAAATTTAATCCTGACTGAATGCTGGGAAAATAACTTGTCTTGGCCTCAAGGAGGTGCCATATGATAGTGGAGTTTTTCTATTCACTCCATCAGATTTGCACGGCAAGCTGATTACCTGGAAAATAGCTAAACCAGCCCAAATTCTGTGTTACAGCAATGCAGTGAAATTAGCACTGCTTTCTCACATGCTCTTTATTCTGGTCTTTTATTTTCTTTACAGATTCTCCTCACCACCAGGGTTCAGGCTGGGGCCCTATACTCGCCTCCCTCCAAGTTCCTGAGCTAACCATGGAAGAATTCCTGCAGGAGTGTCTGTCTTTAGGAAGCTACTTGACTCTGTATGTCTACCTGCTGCAATGCCTAAACACTGACCAGACTCTTACCAATGAAATGAAAATCCTGCAAACCATTGGCAAATGGTTGGAGCAAGTGTACCCAAGGTAGGAAACTCAAGGCTTCTGAATATGCCTTGACTTTTAATTAGGTTGTTGTTGTGTAGGCACTATAATAAGGTAGCCAGGTTAATTAGGTTATTTTTATCATGCTGCTGGATGAAATGGCAAATTCTTCTTTATCTACTCTTCCGGAGTCTGTCCAACCTCAGTGCCACACTAATAATTGTTGTTAAACAGGAGAAGGAATTTGGCTTGAACACTTCTGGTGCAGTTTGGGTCAGTTTTCAGTCAGAGAAATTTGATTTCAATGGCAGCCTGGATTTGTGCTCAAATAAAATGATTTTAAGCAAACCCTAAATCACTGTGGGTTCCACTTCCAAGAATGTCCACTAGTGGGATGAGTTACATGCTAAATACTCAGTTTGACACTGTGAGACCTGGTGGTCAGAACTGCTTAACGGGGGCTGTACAGCAGTACTGAACCACGTCTGGACTCTGTGGATCTGATAGGGTGCCCAGAGTTAGGTACCTGTAAAACAACTTGCTAGATAACAGGGGGAAGGATGGGTAGCTTTGGGGTTTAAATGATAATGCTTCGTACTTTAACTATGTAACAACTGTATCTACAGTTGCTGGTGAAATTGCCAGAATTTGTTGAATATTTTTCCATATTAATGTTGCTAATATTCTTATTTGCTGTGAAGGAATACTTTGGGAAAATATACATTCTCACTATTTCTGGAAGTTCAAAGACTCCCTTATCTGTTGTTGGTACCGTAGTAATTTGATTGCCAAAGTGTGAAGGAGACAGCAAAGCCACCGAACACAGCAAATTAAACCTTGCTCTAAACATCAAAGCTGAGGGTGCCTGGGATGGGAGATGACTGGGTGGAGTAATGTGAGGATAGTCTGAAGCAGGAAACTCGTGCTGATGCTTTATGTGGAAAATCTGAGCTTGTCAACTTAAACTGCAAACTGGTTTAGGAAAGAATAAAAATATCGTAGGGGGAACTTCACTTTGTGCTTTGCTCAACAGAAAACCTCAATGTTTCTTTTTTTACATGATCATATTAAAAGTCTAAATAGTTGTGGAATAAAAAGCTAGTGCTTCCTAAAATGTTTTATTGGTAAGTAAATTAAAAAGAGTAGAGATACAGCTACATTCCTTTTATGCCGAATCTTACACAAGTTTAAATCCACCTATGGCTGCAATATCATTTATTCTCAATTGTAAAACTTTAAAGGAAGCATTGTTCTTTGTCCTTTTATAGACCCTTAGAACCTGTTAGCTGATGTGTGCATCAAATCTGTAACAACGGCAGTTACAGCAGTATAGTATCTGGTGGGGTAGTATAGTTGTACTGTTTTCATATAGTAAGATTAGCTGTCATTAATTAACCATCTGGGTTCTTCATAGGCATAATGGGGAGAGATGTAAACTTCTTAACCAATGCATCTCACTCTTTTTTAATTCATATTTTATTTTATTCTTTAAATCTTACCTAAAGCTCAGCAAAGGAAGAAGCAAAGTTGTTTCTTTGGTGGCATAAAGCCATGCAGCTATCCTTGATTCAGATGGAGCAGGATGACACCATTCTGATTGAATCTGTCATTCAGACACTCCTGTCAATCCAGGGCAGGCAGAGTCAGCTGGCTGAAGAGAGAGTGACTTCTGGAATACTTGGTGCTATCGGGCTAGGCAGGAGGTCTCCTTTGTCACCCAGGTAAGGGCTGAAGGTAAATTAATTGATTTGAGTCATCATGTTAAAAAAGCTGCAGCCTGGATCCAAACTGCACAGTACAATGTCAAAAGATGTTCTGAATCCATGCTGTGTCCAAATCTATAAAGTTGTTTGGGCTCTTCACAGAAAAAAATGGAGCAAGCATTTTAATATGGTTAGGAAGTGAATATGAACTTCTGCAAAGTTTGCACTGGGAATGGAGGGAAAATGTAGTGATTTGTGATTCTGGCTTAATGTCCATCTCAGCAAAGTTTGTAGGGAGACTATTTATTAGAGGAAGATACTTCCACCTGGTCTGTAGAAGATGATTCCAGGTGACCACACAAGAATTTTGTATGATCACATGCACATTGCCTTTTCCATCTTACCCTGGAGGTGTTTGAAATCTTAAGAGGAACTCAAAGGATTATGTGCTTGCCTGTTACTCACTTTACCTTCTAAAAAGAGACACCACGTTTGGTTATTAGGCATTAAAATCAAGTTCATCTTGGAAAGAATGCCAAGAAAAAATACTTAAAATGTTTGTGGAACACCAATTCAACACAGTACCTAAACATAACTCTGTGTTTATAAAAACCTTATGGGATGCAATCCTGTTGAAATTGCTCTGAAATCTTAGTCTTGTTAACTCATCTTTTGATTTGGGTGATAAGAATGTTTCAAAGGCTGAGAAGTGAAGAAGTGTTTTGGATCTGACCTGAGGGCTTCAGCTAATCTTGGAACAGATGTAACATTTCATGTGTATGGTATTTTATTATCCTCTAGGATGTATGATATCCTATTATGTACATATTAAAGTGATGCATTTATTTCTAATGCATTTAGAAAAAGGTCCTCTAAAGCCCTTACTGTGTTTCTCATAGAGACACCTCATGGGATAGAACTTCCAGTTTATCTGCTTTTAAGGACTTGCAAATTTGATTACACAAGGTTTCGGGTGGTTGCCCGCAGTTTGTCAGCCTTCCTCCTGGTGCAGATTCCTGCGGAGGGTCAAGTCCGCCTGAAAGCGGGGTCAGAGCCGAAGCTGTCACTGAAGGCCCAGCAGGTAGAGTGTGCCAATTGCTGGCTTATTGACATGCCGTCTTTGTGTTCTTGCTCAGCTTGTGGGGTAAAGCTTGTAAGAATCACTACAAGCATTCCTTCAAGCTAAATCCTGCTCTCAGCTTGTTAATTTTATTTGGCACTGAATGCCCTTAGTCATTCTTTGCTACAGCTTTTCGCCTGGCTCTAAATTCTGGATTTCAGAAACAGATTGTGGCTCCCATTTGTTGTTGCAGGGAAGGGGGTGTATCACAAACTCTTTGTGTATTGTTTTGCATACATCAAAACATCATCTTGGAATTTGCCAGAGATGAGGCCAGCTGCAGCATAGGCCAGGTGATGATGTGAGTTTGCTGAACTCTGCTAGCATGACTGTGTGTCTGAGCCCTAAGCTGAAGTGATCCTAGGTAGAACTGTCTATACAGCCTTGGGCATTAATATGAAGGTGTCAGTTTCTACTCTTACAGGCTGTAAAGGTGCAGGTGAACTTACTGTGTCTGTAAACCCTGAGTTCAGAACATTTGGAACATAGCACGTGGAAGGAATTTAAAGCAAACAGGAAAAAACAATGCTGCTGTGACTGCACTGCTTTTGAGTGATAAAGCAGAGCTACGTTCACGCTAACATTTGTTTATATGAGATCAGAGCTTAAAAGCCCTATGACAAATAAACATTATTTCTTTAGCATGTGCACTGACTATGTTGTTGCATCACTAAGTGCGTGAGAAGAAGAAGGAGGAGTTGATTAGAAACCAAAGCAAAGTAACTTACTTGGTACAACATGTTTCTCTTCTCTCAGAAATTAATGAATCTTGTTCAGACATATTTCCAGTGTTTCCCCTGACTGGTACTGCCAGCATAGGCTCTTTTACATACAATTTCTGACTTGGCATTATCTCTGCAATATTATTAATGGAAGCAAAAAATACTTTCATGAAAGTAAGAAAGTTCAGAAGAAGCGAATAGTTAAGTGTGTTGCAATTTGTAGTTTAGTGCAATTTCCTTAAAACCGTGTCTTTGAGTTTATGAAGTAAATATTTGACAGTATTTGGGTTATAGTTCCTAACAAGCCTTGATTCAACAGTTGTTATGTTGATTTCAGGGAGTGAACAGCTTGAAAAATGTGAGTTGACTTGAAACACTGCTATGTGATTGTATTTTACAAATGTTGTGTTATGAATGCTCTGGGTTCTGTAGTACATAAGGATCTTGTAGGGGAATTGTGCATATGGTGGCTCACAAAGTGGTTTGATATGGGCCAAAGTACTCACAGCTAACAGAATTTTCCCTTGTATCTATAGGCACTGAGTGTTCTTGGATCTATGGCCACAAACAAACAATATATGGATTATCAAGAGCAGCTGTCCCAGGCTTCTCTGTTCATCAAGCATCCAGAACATTGTCTTCGAGATGTCAATAATCTTCTGGCTTTCCTTATTAATGCTCTGTATCCAGAAGTGCATTATTTGGATAGCATACGATAGCAGCACTGAGCTCACAGAATCATCGTAGAATCATGGCATCAACTGGGTTGGAAGAGACCTTTAAGGTCAAGTCCAACCATTACCCCAGGACTGCCAAGGCCACCATTAAACCACACCACTAGGGGTATCATCCACATGGTTTGTGAACACTTCCAAGGATGGTGATTCCACCACTGCCCTGGGAAGCCTCTTCCAACACCTGATTGCTCTCTCTGTGAAGCAGTTTTCCCAAATATCCAGTCTAAAACTCCCCTGGCTCAGCTTGAGGCTGTGACCTTTTGTCCCATCATGCAATGTTGATTATTCTGGTTTACATAGGATGTTGTTATTGCGCAAGTAATTTTTACCTTCCACTTTTAATCAAATCAGAAGTGTGAATAGGAACTGGTCACTGGCAGTTTTTTCCTTTTCAATGTTTTCTTTCTTTTCTTTTGATTTGTTGGCCTGTGGAATTTCTTAGTTTCTGTTGGCTGAAAACACTTGAATATCTTCCTGTGTATGGTGGAGGAGGACAGGTGTACAAATCATTAGCCAGGAAAGCTTATCCTGTAACATCTTAAGTTTTTGCGTTGTGCCTTTTATTTTCCAGTGTGTCATCACTCAGGCCAGTTCAAAATCAGTGGAGTATTGTGTAAGAAAGAGGTTTTGACTTTCTGAACCAGTCTAACTTAATCTTATGTGAGTGTGCCTGGAGACTTGTGAAATCTCTGTATTTGGAAAAAATAGTATTTTAAATCTTGACTTTTTTTTCTCGCTCTCCCACAGAAATCTGTAGTTGGAAGGCATGTCTACAATCTTCTCCCACTTCTGTAAATACAAACTAAAAAAAGAACTTTGGGGTTTCCTATTTTCCAAATACTAGTGAATACCCATACATATTACTTGATTGAATGCAGGTAACTTCTAGCCAAGTTCTTTTTAAGTCAGGGGATTTAAATGCTGAGACACATTTTCTGGATCTCCAGTGTCTGGCAGGGGATCATTAAGTTATGTTCACGTTAGATAGGATTCCTTAATTCTGAAAGTCTAGTTGTTTAGGAAATACTGATTTAGCAGGTGGACACTCACCACATAAGTTTATGATATGACAGAACTTTAGAAGACACTGTGAAAAGATATTTTTCTTGTACTGAAGTTGGTAATCACTTGTTTCAAATTCTGTTGCCAAAGCATGAACCATGAGTCTGTAAATCTGCTGTTTCAGCTGAATAATGACTGTTTTTGTTGCCTTGTCTGATCATAAGATGCACTTTTGTTCAGGGAAAGAAGAAGGTGAGTGTTCCCAGTTGCTTCTTGATTGTCCCTTTCATCACTGATTTATTTGAGGTGATTGAGCACTGATTGCTGCTTCTCTTCCTCCATTAATTGTGCCTTTATGTTTATAACACATGGTACTTGGTACATGTATCATGTTGGTACATGTTTATAACATGGTACACATGGTTAAAACATTAGTTCTGGTCACTAGGGGAAGGAAGTGTGCTACCTACTGTCTGGTCAGTAATGCTTTGGAGTGTTGCTGTGGTTCTGGTGTTCTTGGAGAAAAAAACACTTTTTACTTCTTGATAGATTCTGCTAACTGTGCCAGCTGGGTCATTGGATCACCTTCATCTTAATGTGGTCTTAGAGTTCTTTGCTCTATCTGCGAGCCTATAAATATATACACATATGTACATCCCTCTGTATATTAAGCGGATAGCAACACAGCATGGTTTCTAACAGACTCTTTTGGAAAATTCATGTCTGGAAGAATACATTCTGCTGCTTTCCCACCCCCTCCCCAAAGACTTAAAAGCACTGTTTTTATTAGATTCTATGTTACTGAGCAGTTGCATAAAAATGTGAAAAAGTCAGGAATATATGTTTGACATGCACTTTGAAAATGAGATGTTGTTTCAGCTGTTGAGTTTTTACAAATGTTGTATTTATAACATGCTATGTCTGCAAAGACCATACAAAATAAAAATGAAAAATTAAGTAATTTGTGACAAGCACCATGATATTTTGAAGAATTCACATCAGGTAATAATTGTTCTTTGAGCGGAAGGTATGATGGGGCATGCCAGCTTAGTTGATGAAGGTCTGGAGACTCTTCTCTTTGACATCCTGGAGTTGACGTGTGTGACACAACAGCCTGGTTTTGTGCGCAGAGCCCAGGAGAAATTTCATCTATGTAATGGCAGAAATAATGCTTCTCTGTCCTGTCAAAATCCCTCAAACCTCTGTAGTAATGCGACTGTAGGACGATGCACAGGTTCTGTTCTTTCAGCACTCACGACTGACCCAGGCTGGAATTTGGTATTTATCCCAAATGAAGGGAAAGCTGATCATGTGGAGGGAAGCAGGAGAAAAATCTGCCTCCAGTGCTGGTGGTACAGCAGTTTTGTTGAGGACTTTGCTGGTGAGAAGGGCTAGAGAAAGAAGTTGCTGCTGTCAGTAAACACTGCTGACACCACCATCATATCCATTTGTTTTGACCATTGAAACAGGTCCAAGAATAACTTAGTGCCCAAAAAGAGGGGCTTTGGACAAGGGCCTGTAGGGATTGGACAAGGGGGAATGGCTTTAACTTGCCAGAGGGGAGATTGAGATGGGATCTTAGGTAGAAGTTCTTCCCTGTGAGGGTGGTGAGGTGCTGGCATAGGGTGCCCAGAGAAGGTGTGCTGCCCCATCCCCGGCAGTGTTCAAGGTCAGGTTGGACGGGGCTTGGAGCAACCTGCTGTAGTGGAAGGTGTCCCTGCCCATGTCAGGGGGGTGGAACTGGATGAGCTTTAAGCTCCCTTCCAGTACAAACCACTTAGTGAGTCTCTGAAAAGGAATAGAAAATATACTGTTGCAGTTTTTTGCCATTTCTTGATTGAATAATTCTGATGCAAGTTATTTATCATGGCTAAAGTACTCTCAGTAATACTATAGTAGGCACTAAGAAGTCTGGAGAATTCCCCATGAGCTTTTGCTGTATGTGTCACACCAAACCAGTCTTCTAGCTTCTTAGTGACCATGGCAGTAGTAGAAGTCTGAACCTATGCTTTTCTCGGGTACAGGGGAGCAGTTTTATTAAGTAACAGACCCCTAGCTGTTCTCTGTTGCAAATATGAACATCAGAACCTAGGGTTTTATTCTCCCTAGATAATAGTGGTACCCAACTAAATGGTGCCCAAAAGATTGATGACTTGTTTCTTCTTGTTTACTGGGAAGATTTTAATGTTCTCGGTACTTCCCACCCTCCCTCCTACCCTGAACTGCAGGGTTCTTGTTCACATCATAAATGTCGCCAGGTAATCTCGGAAAACAGTTTTGTGTTGATTTTAGCATTGTAGATTGCAGTAGAAGGAGATGAAATTGGAATGTCAGCTTAATAACAAAGCATGCCTTTTGGTTAATTGGTGCAGTTTAGTTGCAGAATGAATATCTATCTCTTTTGCCTTGCACAGCAGATGTTGCATTGGGATGAATTGTTGCCTGTGGACTTCAGCTTAAGTATTAATTAAGAAAATGAGGACAAATAGGGAAATGGACCTAACAGCTGAATGTGGCATTAATTTAAGGCAGTGGAGTGGAAAACCAGAAGCCAGATGTCAAGATGCATGAGACATGCAGAGGATGCTTCCTATTCAGGGTGACTCCACAGCATCCCACAGGGGCTGTGGTGGTGTGGGGAGGGGAGCTGGTACCACTGGCTCTGGAAGCTGCTTAACAGAGCAATGGCCAAATCCTCCCAAACCCTGACTGTGTGTGAACTGGGAGGAGAAAGGAGGTGAACTGGAACACACTTGTTAGGCCAGATAAGGACAGTACTGGAAACCTCCTGGCATGTGTCCTCCTGTGTTTTGTCCCTCCAGTATATACTGGTTTGAGTGGTGGTTTTGAGTCCCCAGTGAGGACCAGGACCTGCCAACATGGGTCTTCTTCTTCACGTGCTTCCTGGGCAGGTTGGGGTGCAGTGGGCACCTATCACACCATCACTTCTGTTTGTTGGCCTACTAACACTGACCTGTAAGCTGTCAGTGGGCTTATCATCCACCCCTGGACAGTGCCCTGTCATTGCTGTTGCACTCTCATATGAAGGACAACTCGTCATCCTCAGCTTGTCCTTCCTGAAAAGTCTGTATCCATCCATGGGAGCACTTCAGGCTTGTGAGCTATCCCACAGCATCTCCATCGTCCCGATGAGACTGTAGCCCTGCAACTGTACATGGACCTCTTAATTCCTCCTGCTTCTTCCTCCTGTTGAGAGGCACTTGGCTGTGCTGATTTCTCAGAACAGGTGTGAGACCTTTCCCCACAACGCTGTCCTGTAGGCACTTTATTGTGCACACACACTCGAGTGGGCTTTGTTGGTTACAAGATCTCTCCTCTGTACCTGTCCCATACCCTTCGCTTTCCAAAGAGCAAAACAGCAGGTAGTGAGAGGGAAATGTTTAGAGCAGACTCTTCCCACTGAAGATCGATTTAGTTGGATGGGTTAGAGGTCTCTCTACCAGGAAGAGGAGCAGGATTCAGGCAAATTCCTCTGTCTTTCCTAGGGATGTAGTGGGTTCCTGTACCTGGATATCCATATTCTCTCATTTCCTGCACTAACATGGGCTGTGCACTGGAAGCCAAGTAAGTGAAAGTCAAACAGCGCTAATCCTTGAGTTTCCTCACATCTAAATTCCTGCAGTGATTCTGTGCTGTCCATTTGCTGGCAGCACACTGAGTGTAGGGTGCTGACAACACACAACAGGTCACACCTGTGCACCCCAGGTGGGTTTTGGGGCACAAGATCTGATACTTCTATTTGGACCCCAATTGCTTGAGTTAAAGAAGTAGTTTTCAAAAGAAAAATCCTGTTAGCCAAGCCTCAACCCCATACATAAGTAGAAATGGGTTCTCATTACTCTATGTCTATAAATAATAAGGGCTCATAAATCCAATTCAGTTTGTTCAACTAATATCTCCGAGATCTCTTTCTTCCTGTGACACCTATGAAACTGAGCTTACAATCCACAGCACTGTCCATGACTG